CAAAGTGATTTTACTATGGCAGGACACAGATGCAATGGAGAAACTATGTATTCAATAGGGAATGAAATACCTGGAAATTTCACACAGGCTAAAAAATCCTTGACTTTTAATACCAGCCTCAATCAAATCTACGAATTATCCCCGAAGACCGGAGAAGTCCCTGGAAGTAATTAGTAGAGGATCGAATACGCTTTCGGAGGAGAATTCGACAGTTAGAAGCATAGTTAGTTTTTAAGAAATAAAAATAAATAAAAAATCATGTAATACTACATCAGTGTTATGTTATTGCATGACGCTATATATACATTCGGGTTCGGCCTTTCCCCCTTCAATTTTGCTTTCTCACTGTGGTGGGCGTGTTTACCAAATGCCATTTTTTTTTTCTTTAAGCCAATCGCATTGTTTACCAAATGCCATTTTTTTTCTTTAAGCCAATCGCATTTGATCACGTGATTGGTTTTTCCATGTTACGCATGCGATTGTTTCGCATGTTTATAAATACAGGCCCTTCGTGTATTCAGTATCATTCCTTTGTGACTGATTCCTTATCTAGACAGAAGAAAAAAGAAAAAGAAAAAGGCAAAGTTTTTCCAGGAATTGAGGAATGCTCCAAGCATCCTCGTGGAGAATCACATACATGTATTGATCAGGCGAACAGATACTAAGGAAGTTATGTTGGATCTCAACATGGCCAGTATGCAGATTGATTTTAGACAGAGGAGGGCTCACCCCTACAGGAGGAGGAGGAGTTCACCAGATCGCCGCCCCACCACCCCCGTCGTCCACACCTGCTGCTGCTCCGACCCCCCACCAAACCAGAGCCATGAACGAGGGCCGAATTCCCCGCTTGGGCTTCTCTGTCCCGACCCAAACGATTTAATGCAGTTTATGCTTAACTGAAGGTGAGCCTAACAACTTTGTGTGCGGGCGCTGCCTGCAGCGCCCAGCCTGTACCCTATGTGCGGCCCGGATCCTGGAAAAGAGAGTTTTCCGTGTCCCCTATGCAGAAATGATGAGTTAATCATCAATCATCCCCTGGGGCGAAGACCCGAGTTTGGAGGGACCCGGGATTCGGATGACAACTTTGGCACCATGGTGGAGCGACTGTTAAACGCTTACGGACCCACCGGGACGCCTTGAACCAAAAATGTAAAAAAAAAAAAAAATTAAAAAAACCAACCCAAAAAAAACTAACCTTACAAAAATAACAAAAAAAGTCCTTTTATGGGCTACCCAATTGATTCGAAAAGATGCCTTCATATACATTCAAAAGAGAAACGTATTGTGTGTGTCTTAGAAAAAAAAGATTATCTTTTTTTTAAAAAAATAAGAAACGATTGTATCTTAGAAAAAAAAAATTTTTTTATACAGACAAAGAAAAGAAACATTGTGTGTGTTTCTCTCAAGTTATAACATCAGGCCAAACTTTATAACTTATCAAAAACTTAACTTTAATTTTTTTTATATTATTTATTTTTTTTGGTAAACTCCCCTTATAGTTTTTAAGAAATAAAATTTAGAAAATAATGTAATACTACATCAGTGTTATGTTATTGTATGACTTCATATACAGTCGGGTTCGGCGGCCATGGCGAATCTCGGCAAGATTTTACCCCAGTGAAAAAGGCTTGTCATCCACCCTGTAGGTCATTTAAAGCTGTTTCACATTGTTTATGATTGTGATTATGTTATAACTCACCTATATGTTTAATGTCAACTATGCTAAATAACCCATTTCTGTGTAATTTGAGAGAATGTTTTTGTCATGTGCTTAAAGTATGGCCTGCTATTCATGTCATCATTTGAAGTCCATCCTCAAATAAATCTGTCTTTAAAAAAATACATTTTACAAATGACATTTAATATGATAAGGGTATAGGAATCCATATAAGAGATATTATTTTGCATAACATTTATAAGAGGCATTGTCTTATGTAATTTAAATCATAATAACAAAAATGGGTTTTATTTTTCTATACAGTCCTCAACCTGGAAGATACGTTTTGTTCCTAACCATCTATAATCCATTCTCTATGAATTTAAGCGTGCTGGCTGTTGGTCTTCCTTTGGAAAATACACAGTGAATCAATTATGATAAAAACACAACAAAATTTGAAGATTTTGACACAATTTCTATTGGTTGAAACGAAATGTACAGTTGTTAATCATTAGCATAAAAGTGATGCATTAGACCATGTTTACCACAGATAGCACCTACTGGATTGGTATACATTGTAAAGTATTTCGGCCCCAATACAAATCCCTGTGGAACACCAAAATTCATAGTAACTTGATTAGATAGCTCTCTTTCAACACAAACAGTTTGTTGTCTACCATTAAGGTACGCTGAAATCCAGGAAACGTGATAAGTGTGCTATGTTTAACAGACCGACTCCCCCTATGAGAGTGAAACAGAGGATGAAGTTGATGAACCTATATAATTAGGAGAAAGTCTTCCAGGAAAAAGACACGCCCTCCAGCTGCAATCATTCCTGGGCCTTATCTACGCCTATTGTTGCCAGACAAGCATCCCCGCCACATCTACCAACTCTTTTTTTTTCACATCACCTTCAAGTGCATCAGGTCAGTAAAACAAACTAGAACTGTACAAAATACCCCCGCTGGGTTTTTCAGAAGTAAGTTTTTGCATAATAAAGGTATGTATCAAACACAAATTATAAAATTTTCTTCTAGTGACCTTGAACTTCCCCAAATGACCTTGGGTCAAGGTCATGACACACCCTTGGGTCATAGGCAATCTTTGACTGAAATAAGAACCTACCAAGTTTATCAATAAGAAAGATATGAACCGGACACGAATTATTAAATTTTTCTTCCAGTGACCTTGAACTTCCCCACATGACCTTGGGTCAAGGTCATGACACACCCTTGGGTCATGGGCAATCTTTGTGTGAAATGAGAACCTACCAAGCTTATCCATAAAAGATATTTGTCAAACATGAATTTTGAAATTTTTCTCCCAGTGACCTTGAACCTCCCCGAATGACCTTGGTTCAAGGTCATGACACACTCTTGGGTCATGGGCAATCTTTGTGTGAAATGAGAACCTACCAAGTTTAACCATAAGAAAGATATGGACTGGACACAAATTATGAAATTTTTCTTCCAGCGACCTTGAACTTCCCCAAATGACCTTGGGTCAAGGTCATGACACACCCTTAGGTTATGAGCAATCTTAATGTTGAGTAGTAGATTCTAATGTCCCTCAGTAAGAAAGATATGGACCGGACACGATTGCACAGACAGACAGACAGACGGACAAGGTGATTCCTATATACCCCCCCCCAAACTTCGTTTGCGGGGGGTATAATAATCGTAGCTTAGCTGATATCATGAAACTTATATATTGAATAAAAGTTGATGTCATTAACCATATTGATGTCTTTTTTGTAAGAAAATTTATAATTTCATGGACTGCAAGTAAAATTATGTTTTCAGCATTTGAGAGAAAATTAATTTCATCCATAGAAGAAGTAAAGGTTCAGGGGAAGTTAAAATCAAGTTTGTTGCAGATTATATCGAAAAGGCCTTAGACAAAGAAGAGGCTTTTTTTCAATAAAAAAAAACTCACTTTATCCTTCAGCTTGGGTGAGGTAAAAAAATCACTTGTTCTTGCACTTTATCGTTACGTAAAATGTTTAAATGCCCTCAATCCTTTCATTTATACTTTCTATAGAATAAAGCTATATAATAGTTGACGGGGTAACATAAAAGATTCCGACATCACATCTTGTCAAGATATTCCCAACAGGACAACTTGTCAAGATATTCCCAACAGGACAACTTGTGCTGATATTGCAGATGTAAACTGCTACTGGTTTGGAGATCAAATTATAAATTAGTTTATTATTAATAATTAACATGTTTTTATCTTCATTTCAGACATGCAGAAAAGGACACACTATAAAGAAATGGTGCCTGGTGCCAGTATTGAAAAAGAGGATGAACGGTGACGATTTCCAGTTTGCATCTGCTGTTAAGCTGTCGGGGAACAACTTCCTTAAAAGATTTCTCTATTTACCAAATTTATTAACCTACCTGCAATCAGCAACACAACATTTTATAAGATTCAAAAGACATACCTAATACCATCAATTGATGAACTTTGGTCTGAAAAACAGGAAGAAACCATCAATCTTTTTCTTGGTCAGGAATTTGTAATTCTTGGTAAATAAAGTATCACTGGGTGAAAAAACCAGTTTCCCAATGTGGGAAACCTTATGGAAACCTCAAGATTACATTATGTTTCCTTGTTGTTTCCGGCGGAACACTGGGTTTTTCCCCCTTGATTCCGTGCAACGGAAACACCCTACGCTCCGATTCCATTAGGTATCCCGAGGCTTGGAATCCTGTGGAATCGTGAGGTTTCCCTTGATTCCGTAAGTCTCCCGTACGGGAATCTTAAAGATTCCACTGGTTTCCGCGTTTCGGGATACCTAATGGAATCGGAGCGTAGGGTGTTTCCGAGGATGGGAAACTAGTCGAGAATCTCAAGGATTCCATGTTTTGGAAACCACTTGGATACCATATGGAAACCTGAAGATTCCACTGGCTTCCGTGTCTCGGAATACCTTATGGAATTGGAGCGTAGTAGTTTCCGAGGATGGAAAACTAGTCGGGAATCTTAAAGATTCCATGAATAGGAAACTGCTTGGATTCATGTAGTAAACCTCGAGTTTCCATAGGTTGGAAACTTAAGGGAATTGAAAGGTAGTAGTTTCCGTATCATGGAAACTTATAAGGAATCTTTGGGTTTCCCTTGATGGAATCTAAATAGATTTATTGGAATAAATATATTTTTTTCTTGATGAATTTTCTTTAAAATCTCATACTGGAATAAACTTATGAGAATCTTCCAAGTTTCTCAGGTGGGGTTACATTTGTTATTGAATATTGATGAGTGAACCTTGAGGATATAGTAAACAGCAAAACAAATTTCAAATAAGATGACATTTGTATTCTCAGAAATTATATTAATAATACTACCTATTCAAATTCACAACAAAGAAAAATTTAAGTTACTCAATTCAGTTTCTTAAGTATTATTCGAACAAAATAAATCTATGAAAAAGTATAACAAATTTTAAAGATATATCAAAGCATCAACATTGTATATGTACAACATAAAAAAAAATCATGGCTTGCTTTTAGTTACTATTATAAAAAAAATACAATATTTTATAAATTAAAACCAAATTAGTGACTATTGACATTCAGGGACTCAATTAAGTTACTACAGCATTATAAAAAATAAATCTATGAAAAAGCACAACAATTTTTTACAGATATGTCAAAATATCAACACTGCATCTGTATGTAAAACAAAAATACAAACATGGCCAGATGCTTTAGCTGCTTTTATATAAATATTTTATACATGAAAACCAAATTAGTGACTATTGATATTTATGCCCTGTTCACATGGAGAGTTTAATTCGAATTAAACATAAAGTTACTGCGAATTGGCATTCACACGGAGAATTTAATGCGAATTAGTCCCAGGAAAATGGGAGCCTGACCCTCTTTGTTGAGTCTTCGTCATCAGTCTTCTCAGGTGAAGTAATGTCCAACTGAAGGCACTCCGTCAAGTTCTTTTTAGATGTTGGGGTCCATGACTCGTCTAGATAAGATGTTCCATGGTCTTCTTTCTTCTTTCCAGTTCCTGAAGGAAAAAGCGCATAGTTAATCTGACTTAATCATACAGACTTTTTAAAAAAATATCTGTACAAGTCTCAATGATAATGAACTATGTGACCTTATTTTTGTAGAAATACCCATTGACACAAAATATAAATTTTAAAGAATATTTAATTCCTCTACAACCCTGCTATACATGATGAAAGAAGACTGTTAATTAACAAATATCTTTGAAATGTAGGCAAATTAATTTAAAAATAAATCCCAAAAGATCACTTTTTCCTATAGGTTTTTGGTAAATTAGACTTACTGAACGCTTTCTTTTGCTTTGTTTTGACTGCTGCCTGTGAAGATCAGTCTTTCCATTCTCCCGTCTCCGTTTCTTATGTTTGTCATTAGTAATGACATTGCTGAATGCCTCTAAAATATATAAAAACTCAAATATAACAAACTGAACACAAAAAAAGAAACAAAAAAACACCACAATGATCAATCTTAGGGGAGTCTCTATGTTGTCACAACATGCCATACTCCCAGTTGAAGCCCCGTTTTGTTCTGAAATGCTTTTTTGATATGTTTCTGTCTTAGACAAATTCACCTATAACTGATAAATCACCGGGTATAGCTCAACATGCAATATTGAAATTGGATGCATCTCCTCTAGGCAACAAGAGTGGCCAATGTACGATTGTACCCCTTCTTAAAACATGAATTGTTTGTCATATTTTCAATTTGACAATTTTGACTTTTTTTGTTAATCAAAAATATATTTACAAACTTATTAAAATAAATATAAGTTAGTAGGATACTGTATGTGCCTCATTTCCCAGGAAAATGTTCAAAAAGACATTGGACTATTTGTGAGCAGAAATCTCACATCTAAGGGCTAAGCTCTTTAGTGCGCAGTGTTTAGAGCTTCCTTAAACTCAACGAAATACTAACCAGCTGGAATCAGTAAATATGTATTTAATTTTCCTATCTTCATTGATATCGAAGTTCTTTCCTGTTCAATTCAGGTTTGAGTTAAACAAAGTTTGACTGTATGTATTAGTTTAATGATGTATGTCAATCACGACAATACACACATATCATTGAGGGGGCATATGAATTCAGCCCTAGCTTTTTTAGATTGAATTAACTACCACTTACCAAATGATCACATCCTGATTCATCAAACATTCATATGATTTAATCTCACTGGCTTTCTTTTAAAGTCAGTTTTCTTCTCTCTGAAAGGATAAGGATATATTATGTTCATGTACTATTGCATTCTAATTTAAACTAAGTATGTAATTTAGCATCAGGCATCAGCAACTACATATGTACCAGGATGGGAGAAAAACCTGAATATTAAACAAAATTTCAAGCATCGACTTGTTTGTACCATTCTACTTTTCTAATGTTGGGACCACAAACAATATTCGTTATTACCTAACCTACTGTATTATTTGTAATTAGGCATTTTCAACTGTTTCACACAGTCACAGAATGAACTGTTGTCTGTTCAAAGCATCATTGTGAAATTCAAGATTTTTGATGATCACGACATCACTATTTCTGAATCAGTCTTCGACAAATCCCGGGAGTCGGATACCCGGGACCTGGTAAAATTGGAAGCGGGCATGTGGAAATTGTACAATTACAAGCCCGAAGGGCATGTAAATTCTAAGGTAGAAGCCTCGATATAATCAAATTGAATATGAACAATAAAATCAATTGTACTTTAAAGTCTTTGATTTTTCCATCTAAAGTGAAGTACAAAATAAAATTTTACTGACAGTTTAGTTTACTATGCTTTCCAAGGAACTCTTCTGCAAAGGAGACACAGAAAGTGTCCAGGTTGAAAACAAATGGCGAGACAATAAATATTGACAGAATGGATTTCTTCATATCATTTCCTTGGCATGAAAAGGCAAATAAGAATAATATAACTTGATAAAACTTTGGGCATGTAAATATTTCTTCGGGCTAATGTTATTGATGATCACACCTGCCTGAAGGGCACGTGTTAAAAAAAAAAGGTTTGTCGAAGACTGCTATTTACCTACGTTATAATTAATTAAATTGAAATAAAACACACAAACAATCAATTTATTAAGTATTACTCTGAATTATTAAATATTAATTTAATCTTTATGTTATGTGTTCAGCTAATTCATAGACAAGTATGTGAATAAACAGTTCTTAAAACTCTTTATTGATTGTCTGCGTGTTTTTATTCCAATTTAATTTATTATATAGTAAGTTGGTAATAAAACACTTATTCAATGACTATTCAGTAAAACAGGGGGAAAAAATGAACATGACCTCTCATACATGGTTCCTATTCTTCACTGCGGGTCAATATCACTTGACATAGGTCCTTATAACTTCATGTTGGCCTACACAGGTCAATAATTGTGAAATAACTGATAATTCAAGCTGATGATTCATTTGCATTACTTGATATACTATCAATATTAATTCACTATGTAGGCTTTTCTTTTATAACATCTTCATCTCAGCAGGTCAGACATTAGAAAATTTTTCTTTTGAACAGTAAAGTATTTCAATATACTAACTTATTCTCTTCAGATAAGTGGACAGGCTTTCGCCTACATCCACTTTTTAAATGTATGTTTTCCTACATATCATTCTCATGCATATGATTAAGGGTTATGCTTAGTACAATCTATTTCAACTGTTCTGATAATGTTTATCCTTCATGAATAATCGGATAGTTGCGATTGAAGACACTTTTCTAAAAATATCGATGCTTTTTTCATAATTTTGAAACAAAAATAGCTCATCTATACCTTGTCATAAGTCATAAGTTCCAAAACATCAAAAAGTTGGCTATCCGAGATCGAGAACACATGAATTCAAACCGGATATACTTCATTCTGTACTTAACTACGAAACCGTGCTCGGTATAAATATTATCATCCGAATAAATAGAGGTGGTAAAAATTAAAAAATAAATTAAAAAATTCGCTTTAAAAGAACTCATTTGTACACACACAGAGAACTTTTATATTGAGCATTCATTTTATTAAAAGGCGAAACGTAGCCATTTTACAACATACAGTATGGAACACATACATGTACGGTGCTTTGAGGCCTACGTTGTCTATTTATTGCATGGAATTAAATCAAGTATGTCATATCACTCAAATTTCCCTTTCATTTCTTGCAATATATGTACTAAAGTCTAAGAATTTTAGATATTCTAACTTTTCAAAATGGCGTCAGAACAAAAGTTGTCTACGACAGTGAAGATTTGGGGCCAATATTACAATTATTTACCGTAAAAAATTAACAAAAATATACGTACACTAATCCTTGGTTGTTGTTCCTTGCATTTATCACAGTCTCAAAGATACTGGGTGGTGAAAGCATCATTAACTTTTCACATTTACCAGCTGCTTACACCTTCTTCTTCGTCCTTCTCAATCCTCGAAAAATGGCGCCTCGGTAAATTGACCAATGAAAATAAAGTAAATTTCAAGTTGGAAATTAGTATGAGATATAATTTCAAAGTTTCCCTACCCGGGAAACATGGGAGAAACTACAGATTGATGGCTTCCATGTCGGGAATCTTTAAGGAAACCACTGAGGCATGTTTCCATGGTTTCCTGTCTTGGGAAACTTACGGGAAACCACAGGTTGATTGTTTCCATGTCGGGAATCTACATGGAAACCACTGAGGCATGTTTCCACGGTTTCCTATCTTGGGAAACTTACGGGAAACCACAGGTTGATTGTTTCCATGTCGGGAATCTACGTGGAAACCACTGTGTGGTTTCGATAAAATGGAAACTATATGGAAACTACTGATGTCACGATTCCCATATGTTTCCATCGGGTTTCCAAATTTGGGAAACCTGGTTTTTCATCCAGTGTATGTGTTTTGTTGTCTAGTCTGTGTAGGTATATGTGTTTACATGTCGTTAAAGTATGAACAATTGGAACACTAACACTTTCTCTGCAGAGACCGAAAAAAACGAAAGAAGAGGTTGTAAGGGTTTCAGTCAGGGGAGTTCCTCTTTCTGTAGAGGACTCGTGTGTAATAAATAAGCTTGAAAAGCTTTGAACCAAGCTTACACCTGAAATTAAATATGAGAATATCCGCAACCCCACCACCCTTAAAAAAAATGACAGAAATTTTAAATGGTTATCTTTTTTTGTATAAGAAACTAATGCTTAATGGCAAATTCCTGCCAAAAAACAGTGAATGTGCTGGGCTAATATGCACCATTTCACATCAGGGACAACCGGTAAAGAAGTAATCCTTGAGATGCACTTTTTGTTGGTGCGAAGATGATAATCGCTTCGATTGTGAGTATGAGACTTGTTGCAAGAACTGTAAGAAAACAGGGGATGCTCACTCCTCCATGGCACCTGATCCCACCTCTGATGTTTCGGGGGTCCGTGTTTGCTCTGCTCTTATTTTGTATATTTGTTAAATGGACGTTGAGATTGAATACTGTTCGTTATTCCATATCCTTCTGGTCACACTCCAGGAGACTCAAAATGTTCAAGTTTTGATAATGGCGAGAAACAAGAGGCCCACGGGCCTTATAGGTCACCTGAGCATTCTGCAACAACTTTCCAGTTATTGAATTTGATTCATGTTTTAAGCAAGATGCTATATGGCATTCACAATTTTGAAAGAGGCACCATTGATCATCATAACAATACACTTAGCAGTTGCTTAGCTTGGTTTATTGATTTGAAAATGTCCAATAATAAGTTCATAGGATCTTCATGAACGTTTCATGAACAATTGGTGAATAAAATTCATGAATTATTCATGATCACCTCGCAAGGGTACTGAATACCCATACGCAAGGTAGGGGAACAAAAATGCATTCCAACTATTCAGTAATATTTAGCAATAATCAGTAGTGCCCCTAACACTGTGAAATAAACCCCTGACCTTAGGTCCACGCATTGCACAAATTTTAAAAAGGCACCCTTAAAATTGCCTATCAAAAAATAAATAAATGTTTTAAGAATACAAAGGAGCAGATTTCAAACAATTAATTCATTTTCAGTATATAAGTAGAGCCCGCAACCCTGACCCTGGGGCCTTGAAATTCACAATTCTACAAGATTAGGGCCCTTGCTCATCAATAACTATATTAGGTAGTTAATCTGCTTCATACCCAGAGACTGAGAAGAAAATTTTCAAAGATTTAATGTATATTCACTATATAATCAATAGAGCCCCCTCCTCCCCCAACACCAGAACCTCTGACCCTGGGGCCATATAATTCACAATTTTGGTAAAAGCATGCTTGCTCATCATAACTATGCAGAGAAGAAGATTTTGAAAGAATTCATGTATTTTTACTATATAATCTATAGAGCCCCGCCCTAACACCAGAACCCTTGACCCTGGGACCATAAAATTCACAATTTTGGTAAAAGCACTCTTGCTCATCTTAACTATGCACTTAGTTAGTTTATTTAATACCTAGGAGCAGAGAAGAAGATTTTCAATGAATTCATGTATTTTTACTATATAATCTATAGAGCCCCCCCCCCCCCAACACCAGAACCCTTGACCCTGGGGCCATAAAATTCACAATTTTGATAGAGGCACTCTTGCTCATCATAACTATGCACTTAGTTAGTTTGTTTAATACCCAGGGGCAGAGAAGAAGATTTTCAAAGAAATCATGTATTTTAACTGTATATAATCAATAGAGCCCCGCCCTAACACCAGAACCCCTGACCCTGGGGCCATAAAATTCACAATTTTGGTAGAGGCACTCTTGCTCATCATAACTATCTACTTAGTTGGTTTATTTAATACCCAGGAGCAGAGAAGAAGATTTTCAAAGAAATAATGCATTTTCACTATATACTTATTTAGCCCTGCCCTAGCACTAGAACCCCTGACCCCAGGGCCATGAATTTCACAATTTCTGTAGAGGACTCATTGCTGATTACAATCATGCAAACAGTTTGACTGCTTGATGTCCAGGAGTAAAGAAGAAGATTTTTAAAGATTGCATTAATTTTAGTGGTTTTGGCCCCACCCCTCAGGCCCCAGGGGGGCAGGGATTATGAAATTCACAATTTTTGTTCCCCTTCACTCATAGATGCTTTGTGCCAAATTTAGTTAAAATTGGTTCAGTGGTTGCAGAGAAGAAGCTGAAAATGTTCAAAAGTTTACGAACGACGTACGACGCACGACGTACGACGTACGACGAACGACGACGGACGAAAACGGATAGCAATAGGTCACCTGAGTTTACTCAGGTGACCTAAAAAATCATCGCTTTCAGCGGGTATGAAGATATTCTTTCTTACTTATATCTTTGTGACATCAACATCTTTTGA